ATTAAGAGCTGGCAGCGCTGGCTGGTGAGCGTTAAGTCTTCTCTGCCTGCCAGGCGTGTGTGTGCTCAGGAAGAGGACAAGGTAGTGGGTGTGGGGCTCCAGCCAGCCTGTAGCTGGATGCCTTCAGCTTCCTTTCCGGGAGAAGTTCAGGTGCCCTGATGGTGCAGACAGTGAAGAGGCCCGATTTGCTAACCCAAGGGTCGGCAATTCCTGGCCTGCAGAAGAAAGACCTGGCGACCTGCTTCCATACAAATAGCGGCCGAGAAAACCCTGGTGAGGGTGCTTTGAGTCCTCAGTGTGCATCCGACAAGACGGAGCTCACAACAGCATCAAGCTCGTCCGATCGCTGCGGAGCTAAGGTGACGTGGCACAGAGCAGTGCCTCGCCCCTCAAGAGCACACAACCGGTGTCTTGTACACGATCGAACATCTCTAGAGACATCTGAGGCCAAGTGACTTTTATCCCCACCAATCAATGGGCTCAGAGAGGTGAAGAGACCCCGCAGGGCTGCCCAGCCAGGAACCGGGATTCCGACTCTGATGGAGCTGCCCAAAGCTCAGGCTGTTGGGAGGTCAAGCCCCTGCCAAGATGACTGGCATATTGCAGGTGCTGGGGTCAGGTTTCCGCCCCAGCCCCAGCCTGGTGCAGCTTCCTCTGTCCTTGCTCTCGGCCAGTGATGGGCCCTGAACTCTCCGTGTCCCACATCACAGCTTCAAGCAGAGCCCTTGCTGGCTTCAGAGAAAACCAGAAGTGTGGAGCCTCAGGTCAGCGCTGCGACTGCTTGTTATTAGCGCTAATCTAATTAAGCTGTCTTTTGTCGCGGATCCTTGAATCAGTTCATCAAGGACAGGCTGGATTTGTGTCTTCTTAATAATGCTACCTGATTTCCCAAGACCACCAGCTGAGAGCCCTGGGCGTAGCGCTTCCTTCCTATTTGCTCTTCCTTCGCTCTTTCCATGTAGAGAATGCATAAGGTTTCCCAGGGCAGGGAGGAGCGTGGGCAAGAAGGATGCTTTGGATGGACTTAAACAAGCCTGACTGTAAGCCTCAGGAGCCCCGGTGGTGTAGTGATCATGCGCTGGACTGCTAACTACAAGGTCAGCAGTTCAAAACCACCAGCCGCTGTGCGGGAAGAGGATGGGGCTTTCTACTCCCATAAAGAGTTACCGTCTTGGGAACTCAACAGGGGCAGTTCTGCCCTGTTCCTGAGGGTCACCAGGAGTCAGCAGCAACTCCATGGCAGTGAGTTTGGTTTGGGGCTTTGGTTTTAAGCTTCATTTCTTCTCATCTCTGTGTGACTCAGGGCCAAGTGACTTCTGGCTGAGTTTGAGCTCCCGGGAAACGGGTTAACAACAGTCCCAATGTCTGGAGCTGTGTGATCATTAAATGAGGTAGTGGAACTCGCCTAGCTTGGTCTACTCCGATGGTTCTCAACCTGTGGGTCGGGACCCCTTTGGGGGTCAAATGACCGTTTCACAGGGGTCGCCTAATACATCCTGCCTATCAGATATTTACATGATGGTTCATAACAGTAGCACAATGACAGTGATGAAGTAGCAATGAAACTAATTTTATGGTTGGGGGGGTCACCACAACAGGAGTAATTAATTGTATTAAAGGGTCCGTGGCATTAGGAAGGTTGAGAACCGCTGGTCTAGCCCATAATGACCATTCAGTCAAGATGAGCTATTATCATTACTAGACGTCCCTTGAAAGTGAACGTGATTAACATGCCTGGACGCTCACTGAATAGCATGGGGGGAAAGGGGGCAGAGTCTATTTAGAGGCACTTGGCAGAAAGGACGGGCAATCGAATTCCCGAAAGGAACCCACTGGAAACCCCGTGGAGCACAGTTCTACCCCGACACACATGGGGTCCTCGTGGGCCAGAGGCAACTCACGTCACACAGTGACTGATTTGTACACGATCATCGCACCTACCCCTGGCTTGCTGTTTCAGTATCTGAGATTTTGCATTTACGCCAACAGTGAAATAACCTTCACTCTGACGTTTTTTTTTGCGCACTAGTGACACACCTCTGGTGGTAACAAGTGCCGATGTGGCAGGAGATAGGGGTGACGCTGCCTGTTGTGGTGAAGGTGTTGTGCCAGCCTGGCTAGGCCGTGATTCTCAGGGGCTTGGTAGTGACATCAGTGATGCGGTCACCGTCCATGTTGTGACCCGATCATCTTCCTCTATGTTCCCATCACTCGGATTTTCACCTAACAACCCCGGTCTTGGGAAACGAGCCGTGTGGATAACGGAGGCATACCACGGATAACGAGGGTGGTGGTTTGAAGCTACCAGCAGCTCCGTGGAAGAAAGGCGTGGCAACCTGCTTCACAAAGAGCCTTGGAAACCCTCAAAGGCAGGGGGCAGGGTTGGAGAGCTCCACACCCATCCTATGGGAGTAGCCATTGGCTCAATGGCATACAACAACAATAACAGGAACAACAAATATTAGCTGGACAGTTGTTAAGTGCACGGAGCCCTGGTGGTGGAGTGGGTTACATGTTAGGCTGCTAACCACAAGGTCAGCAGTTTGAACCCACCAGCCGCTCCTTAGGGAGAAAGATTCTGGTGAAGAAGTCCAGCCCCAGAAACCTAAGGGGCGGTTCTATTCTGTCCTCTGGGGTCATTATGAGTCAGAATTGATGTGGCAGTCATGAGGTTTTTAAAAAAAATTGTCATTTATGACTAAGTGCCCGGAGGTGTGCTAAACATTATGTATAAATGTATACACAAACACACACACGTATATAATCTTACATGAAAAACAACTAGGGCAGTGGTTGTCCTGAAGCAGATGCTCTAGAAATCCCCAGAACTATATTACTGGTGGCGGCAGTATTTAATTTGCATAACAAATCGGAATGTTGTTGTTGCATGGGACAGGGAGTTCTCTGAGGGGGCCCAGATAAGTACAGGCCATCCCGGTGTACCTCTGGACCATGACAGTTACTACAGAGGAGGAACAGCAGGCGGAGAGAGTCAGGGACAATCTCCTGGGATTATGTGAAGGCAGTGAAGGAAAAACATGACTTATCACTCATCCAATCACCCACCCGTCCAACCAATTGTATTCAGCGCCATCTCTGTCCCAGGAACTGTCCCAGGTGCTGACAAAACACAGGCTGACAGGACAGGCAACACCCCTGACCTTGTGGGGCTGACAGTCCAGCAGGGGAGGCAGGTCACCAGCGTGTAAGCAAACGTGTAAACCAGGGGCTTTCTGGTGGGGGATACCAAATCCATACCCAACCAAACTCACTGCCCTGCAGCCGATGCCAACTCATAGCGACCCTACAGGACAGGGTAGATCTGCCCCTGTGGGTTTCCGAGACTGTCACCCTTCACAGCGGTAGAAAGCCTCACCTTTCTCCTGCAGAGGGCTGATGGTTTTGAACTCTGACCTTTCGATTAGCAGCCCAACGCATAACCAACCACTGTGATGGAACTCTGGCCTGCGGGTGTGGTCATGTAGGAGGGGATTCGCCTGCTTGGTAGTGCGCTTATCTGTGTAATGGGGTTAGCAAACAGAGCTACCACATACCTACAGTTAGGTGACAGCAATTCTTATGAAAAACCGGTGACAGCTGATTTATGCCATATACTCTTTATATTATTATGCGTATATTAGTCTGTGTTTGTTGTCATGTGTTGCCATGGCGAACCCACATGGCAGAGCTGAACAGCCTCACGGTGCTTCCTGAGCTAGCATCTCCATTGGAGTGGGTCATCAGCAGCTGGGTAGGTTCAAACCACAGCCAAGCACTTACCCATTGCCCCACCAGGATCCTTTATGCTATACCATGCCACACTTTGCTGATAGCTGCTGCTGAGCCAGCCCTACATGTATAGTGACCTCCAGTGTTACAGAGCAGAACTGCCGGGGTGGGGGGGTGGGGTGGGGGCTTTCCTGGTCGCCATCTTTACAGAAGTAGATCACCGGATTACTAGGCCTTTCTTCTGAGCAGCCTCTGGGTGGGTTCGGAGGGCTAAGTTTAGTGGATCACAAGTGGAGCATATCCCCCCAGGATGATGATGCTATTATTATACTGCCCCATGGAGCCCTGGTGGGGTTGTGGGTCACACAACGGGCTACCACAGGAAAGGTCAGCCGTTCGAAACCACCAGCCGTTCCTTGGGAGAAAGACAGGCTTTCCACTCCTTTAAACAGGTGAGAGCTGTAAGAGCCCCCAATAAAATGATTGAAACACAAACAAACAAACGGGTCTTGACAATCCACAGGGGCAGTCTTCTCTGTCCTATAGGGGCGCTAGGAGTGGGCACTGACTCAGTGGCAGTGGAAAATGTGGTTTTGAGACATTGCATCATACAATGTGATCTATTTCATCATCACTTCACTCACTCACCTGGAGCCCTGGTGGTGTAGTGGTGACAAGTTGGGCTGTGATCCCCATGGCTGGCAGTTCAAAATCACTAGCAGCTCTGTGAGCGAGAGACTGGACTTTCTACTCCCGAAAGCAGGGTCACTATGAGTCAGCATTGGCTGGATAGCAGTGAGTTGTTTGTCTGTTTACCACTCACTCACTGCCATCGAGTTGATGCCGACTGTAGAACTGCCTGAATTTCCAAGAAGACTGTAGCTATTCAAGGGAGTAGAAAGCCCTGTCTTTCTCCCACAGAGCGGTTGGTGGTTTCGAACTGTTAACCTTTTGGATCTAAGCCCAGTGCCGTAACCACCAGGCCACAAAGATTCTCAACCCATCATGACTCACAGGGACTCAAATAGGGCAGAGTGTAGTCTTTATGGAAACAGACTGCCACATCACTCTCTTGCTGTATGGGTGGCAGCTGGGTGCTCACCTGCCTGACCACCAGGACTTGTTTTTTTCCGGACCACACCGTGCACCCCACACCCTGCCCCCCCAGACACGCCCCCTCTTACCTCGCTCCTCCTCCTTCTCCCGGACAGCCCTTCCCTTGAGGGCTCTGCTCCAAGCTCCCCCGTAGTCGCCCAGCTTGGTGCGCTCATTCGCGTCCTTGCCCTTGAACCAGGGCCCGTACCTGCGCGTGATGCTCGAGGCCTCTGCCGGCTCCCGGAAGCCCCTGCCCAGGTGCAAGGCGCCCAGAAAGGGCAGCTCGGCAGCCTGGGCCGGGGCCCCGGCTGGATTGGCCTGGTTCTGCGAGAGGGCGGGCTGGCTCACGAAGCCCGAGTGCAGGAAGACCAGGCTGCCAGCGGTCAGGTAGAGCGCCAGGAAGGTGAAGAAGCGCACAGGTTTGCGGCGGAAGTACCGCTGGACCCGGAGCCAGACCTTCGCCATGGCAGAACCATTCCGGACTGGCTCGTTGGGCGGGGCTGAGGAGATGGACTGGGGGGCGTTGGGACCCCAGGGGTGGGTCTTTGACGGAGGCCAAGAGAAAGGAGAAAGCAACCGGACTTCCCAAGGTCAAGGTGAGCTTCTGGGTCAAGGACGGCCCAGAGTGGGTCCTTTTTGCCTACATCTTGTCCTTCCCTTCAAAGACTTCCCCAAGAACTTGGATCGCAGCAGTCGGAGGCGCTCCGGAGGGTCACCAGCAGCTGCAGCCCCCTTTGAGTCCTGCCTGGGTTCCTGGAGCCTGTGGGGGCTGCATTGCATCACTGCGGCCCCGGTGCTGGTCTTGGGTCTGGCTGCATCCGCCTCGTGGAAACAGCAGCTGGGGGATTCCCATTCTTTCCAGCCTCCAGCTCAGGGCTGCCAGACACCAAACAGGGCAGGCTTGAGATGCCTCATAGGCACCGCACCATGCTGGGAGGGGCCTGGAGGGGAAGAAAGCAGAGGCAAGTAACTTGGCACCCTGTTCGGAACCCCCTAGAACCCTGTGCTGGCTCTCTTTCCATTGGACCAAACTGGGAAGGGGCAGGCTTTAGTCTCCTCTTGGGACCAACTTGTCCTTGATCAAGGCAGGTGTTGATGAGCTGGTAGGATCGTTCCCCCCTCATTTCCCATATCTGGTCAAATGTACCATGATTTGTGGGTTCACCTGAAGTCCAAAGAGGAGTCCTGGTGGGTTACATGTTGGGCTGCCGACGGCAAGGGCAGCGGTTCAAACCCACCAGCTGCTCTGCAGGAGAAAAGTGAGACCCTGCTCCCATAGACTGGCAGCCTCCCCAGTCTAAAGGGGTAGCCCAACTCTGTCCAATGGGGTCGCTATGAGTCGAAAATCATCAAAATATGATTCGATGATAGTGTGTTTGGAGTTTGGGGGGTTTACGTCCAAAGAGCCCTTCCTGGGTGTTGGCTGGCCCTCTTGTCCCAGCAATGTGACCTTTTCTGGCCAGTGGCCCCATAAGGCTTTTCAGTGACTCACTTTCAGAAGTAGATCGCTAGCCTTTCTTCACAGGCTGCCTGAGATGGGGGGTGGGGGGCTCTGTGGAAACCTGCCCACCATGGGTATTTGATACCTTGGGGGCATCACTATAGGTTATCATAGCAGCAGGACAGCAAGGGGACCCTAGAGGGTCTACAAAGGCAAGAGAACCCCTCGATGAATTGGGGATGCCAATTCATTCCTTCCTAAAGGCAACAATGAGCTCAAACATCTCAGGTGACCTCGAGGATGGGGCAGGACAGGGCAGGGTGCAGGTTCATTCTGCTATGAGTAGAAACCAACTCTAACACAAAACTCACTGGGGGGAAGCTCATGGGGAGGGGGCCCTCACTGCCATCAAGTTCATTCGACTCACTGCAATCCCAGGAGGCAGGGTATAATTGCTCCTATGAGTTCCTGAGGCTGTAACTCTTGGAGGGAGTAGGAAGTCTCATCTTTCGCCACAGAGTGGCTGGTGGATTTGAACTGCTGACCTGACGGTTAACAGCCCTAACCCATAACGCAGTACGCCCCCAGAAGACCTCTGAAGCTGACTCAAGGGCAACTAAAAACACCAGGTCTGCCAAACTGCCTGCTGCACCTGATCTGATGCATTCAATTTCCCAACAGATAGTCCAGGAGCCCCGGTGATGAGCCGGGCACCATACACAAGTCTCTTACTTCATGAGGCTGCTTTCTTATGGGAGAGACCACATCCAGAGACCCTTTCTTCTATCCCAGGAAGAAGAGGACAAGGAAGGAAATTGCACTATTTAACAATATGTTTGTTCGCTCATTTGTTCATTCACTCGTTCATTATTTATTGAATACCGACTGTGTATGCCTGGACTTGTGCCAAGGCTTCGGCATAAACATTTCCATACCAGAGACACCAAACTCACTGTCAACGAGTCGATTCTGACTCATAGCGACCCTCTAGGACAGGGTGGAACTGTTCCTGGGGGTCTCCAAGACGGCCGCCCTCGATGGGAGCGAAAGCCTCCTCTTTCTCCCACAGAGCAGCTGGTGGTTTCGAACTGCTGGCCTTGCAGTTAGCAGCCTGACCCGTAACCACAACACCACTATTTCCCCATGTTCTAGGCGAGGGAACACAGGTCACAGGGTTGGTCAGGGGTGCAGCTGGGATTTGGACCTAGGGCTGTCCAAATCCCAAACCATGATTCTTCACCACCGCCTTGGGGATTCATCCCTCTTCCAAGGAGTCTGCGCATCAGGTGGGAATTCAGCAACAGACCCCAAGGCAGCAGCTCTACCTCCCCGGCCTCTCCGGGCCTGTCATGGCTCCCCTGGGATGCTCCCCTTCCTTCGCCAGGTCCCTACCTCCCTTGCTCTTGTCTCCCTTTGAATCTAACACCCAGTTTGTGGCTCACCAGAAACGAACACATTAGGGATGTGGAGATGGAGGTGCAGGTGTGTGTGTGTGTGTGTGTGTATGTGTGTGTGTGTGTGTGTGTGTGTGTGTGTGTGTGTGTGTGTGTGTGTGTGTGTGTGTGTGTGTGTGTGTGTGTGTGTGGCTGGAGGTGGGAGCGAGGGTGGGGGTGGGAAGCAGAAGTAGAGCGGGCTTCCTCAAGATAAAAAGTAAAAAAAATATATATATATCAAAACCTGTTGCCATCAAGTTGATTCTGCTTTATAGGGTTCCGAGCCTGCCAGTCTTTTCATGGGAATGGAGAGCCTCATCTTTCTCCCATAGAACGGTTGGTGGGTTCAAACCATCAACCTTCTTTCAGTGATCAGCCCAGCGTGTAACCACTGTGCCATCGGGGGTCCCTGAAAAGAGCCTTTGCAAATCAGCTCACAGTCATTTCCTCTGGAAAAGGAACAGGAAAAAGTGGGAGCCCAGGTGTTAAGGGTGCATGTGTGTCCCCGCCCCCCAAAACAAATGACATGTTGAAGTCCTGATGCCTGTGAACGGGGCCTTTATGGAAATGGGGTCCTGGTATGTGTAGTGGGTGACACAGAGGTCGCAGCAATGGGAGGATGGTGCAGGGATTCTCTCTGTTGTACACGGAGACCTGCAATGACAAGACAGCACCCGACCACAAACAAACAGGTGTAATTAATCACCACGAGGTCCTACAGGCGAGGGCCGGGCCCTACTCAGACAGGACTGGTGCCCTGATCAGAAGAGGAGAGGAGACACAGACAGCACCCAGAGGGAGCTGGCCGTGCGAAGACGGAGGCGGAGACTGAAGCCAAGCAGACGCAAGTCTGGAGACACACCTGGGAGCAATTAGACCTGTCCCCTGGGAAGGGACACGGGAATCTTCCCTTTAGGAGTTCAGAGGGAGCTTGGTCCTGCCAACCCCGCCCCTGGAAGAGAGATCATTTCTGTGGTCTTGAAACCAACCAGGTTGGGTACTTTGCAAGGGGAGCCACAGGGCGTGAACCCTGGAGAGAAGTGAAGGTCTACATGGGAGTGCCGGTCGGAGCGCCTCCTGGGGTGGGGGGTGGGGGGTCTGCGTGCTGGCAGGCCTGGGAAGAGGAGAGTCCCAGTTCTCCTGCAGGGCAGCGGCAGCAGCAGGGAACATTTCAGGAAGGCAAAGGAGTCACACAACAGTGCAGGGCTGGCCTTACACACAGCTGAAGCAAGGGGCAAGGCGTTAGACCCTTGGGGAACCTTGACCACCAAGCTCGGGGTGTGCGGCTTGTGTGCGAATGGCCCATAAAGTGTCACAGCCACAACCAAACACTTTAGAAAAATCACTCTTACATTAAAAAAAAAAAGTTCAGCCTGTTGCCGTTGCGTCACTCCTGGCAACCCACAGGGCTCTCCCGGCAGCTGGCCTGATGGAAGCAGTTTGCCAGGCCTTTCTTCCATGGGCCCGGATCGCTGGCTTCTCACTTAGCCACCCACCGGAAACCACATGCTCCATCCAAGTACCGTCACCACCAGGTGCCAGCTTTAAAACCTCTGGGCTGTGGGCCAGGGTCCCCACGGAGTTCTGGGCCGATCATCCGCAAGCCAGGTGTTTCCACGGCTGGACGTGGGTCAGAAGAAGCCAGGAACCCTTGTGGGATGGGACCCTCAGCCCTTCCAGAGGCTTCCAGGCAAGACCAGAGGCTTCGGAGACACACTGACCTTTGTTCAAAGCTGCCCCCCCCCCCACCACCACACACAGTATTTGATACCTTGGGGGCATCACTATAGGTTATCATAGCAGCAGGTCAGCAAGGGGACCCTAGAGGGTCTACAAAGGCAAGAGAACCCCTCGATGAATTGGGGATGCCAATTCATTCCTTCCTAAAGGCAACAATGAGCTC